CATCCTTGTTGTATAAACACAACCTGATACTTACTGCACACCGTATATTGACACCATCCTTGTTGTATAAACACAACCTGATACTTACTGCACACTGTATCTTGACCCCATCCTTGTTGTATAAACAACAACTGATACTTACTGCACACCGTATCGTGACCGGAAATCTATGTGGTTACGGTAGGTACGGTTTACATCTAAATCAATCTGTCGTATGTGTGGAGATTTGGTCCTTGCCCTTAACTTCATATCCTACAAAGCAAGTAAACAGAAGATACAAGAGCAACAAAATTAGAAAAATTTATGGAAACATATTATCCATTCCAAGCAGGAAAATTTTCCATGTTAATATGACCTGGACTAATTGGTCTAATGCAAAATGGACTAATACAAATTAAATGTAAGCATATTCTATTTGCAGGGCTTTTAATTTGACACAATCAATGTTGTAGTCACCATGAATTAGCAGTTCTATGTGACAAGTATTACGATGTGTCTGCATTAACAGTGTGTAAGGCAGGTTGCCCCTTACTTTGTAGATGCCCCTTTGTTCAGCTTTCATTTTGTTGACCCCAAGCAGTCGGATCCACACCTCGCCTCGAACCCGATTGGGGATACCTTTGTAGATACGCCGGGTCATCTACACAATAGACAAGGTACTCACATAAAAATATATATCGAAAAATCAAAGAAAGTTAAAAGATTCTTATTCTAAATTACTGAAATTATCTTATGACTGAATACTTTGAAGTGAATCATATTATTTGCTTAAGAATTAAAGGCTTTGAAAATATAGAAATGATCTACGGTATGAAATTTTCAAACATTGCATCCTGGAATGCTCTGTTACCTTTTCTCCTGATGAGTATTTGTCCCAATTTTTTAGCATTTTCAGCCATTTCTGTGACCTTTCAATCTCCACTTCAATGGCCTACAATATAAAAAATAGGGTTATAACTCAAAAACTTGTTGCCAACAAACACATTTTATAATGGAGGATTCTACCAGGTAAGCTTAATATGACTTCATTGTTTTGACCAACAAACAAATAGGTGTGCCTGAACATCCGGCAAATAATCATCATGTGAAGTTTTAAAGTGCTAGAAAGTAAGACAATAGTTTTTGCACAACAGCGAAATTTCATTTCAAAGTCCATAATGGAAAGATAAACTACGAGAGAACAAAAATAGGTCTTGCACAACAGTGTCATTGAAATGAACATTGACCCCAATTTGAACAGGGTTACAACACTTATCCTATGGTAGTCAACTTGTGAAGTTTCAAGGTCCAAAATGACCTTTTGACCCTAAAATGAATAAGGTTTCTCCTTCCCATATGGATAGTCAATTTTCAATAAAGCCATATCATTTGGACTGTTTTAAATGTAACAGAAATAGGAAATAGTAATGTTTTTACTAATTCAGGTAATACTAATTGCAACTTGATACCAATGCTTTGACCTATGACCTACCTTTGCCTCAGCTGCACTCTGTTTCTGAGGGAGTTGGTAGTTACTGTAACACACAACAAATAGTACAAACTTATACAATACAATACAGGTTGATAGGATCTCGCTATGCTAATCAACCCACCACTGATCGCGCTGTCCCACTATCAGGCAACTGTTTTTGGTAATACATTTTTTTTTTCCACAAGTAAAATCTTTCTTGCATAAATCCAGCCATTCCCAATCAGTTCACGTTAATTAGGAATGAAGGTGGCTAGATCACAATTAGTTTTATGCGAATCAATAGTTGAAAATGTAATGTACAGGATATGTAAATTAATTCTACATTGAAGAATGATATCATTAATGAATATGAAGCTAAACATGTTTTAACTTACAACTGTAGATGACAAAACTTGCAGGCGAGTTAAAAATCTCCAGCTACATTTTTTCTCTAAAATGATATCTTGAAACCTTACTTGGAATTTTAGAGTTTACATTAAATTCTTAAATAAACATCAGCATAAATGATCTAGACAATAACTTACTGGATGAATCCGTATCTATCAGTGACATGGTAAACCTCCAAGGTTGGGTCCTCCCAGGGGTCAATCTGTGCCCCTTCTTCTCGACCCTGCAAAACAAAACATGAAAATCAACTCTACCAGTGAGGAAATGAGAAACATAATAAAATCAATGGTTCATATGTTCCTCAGAGACATATTCAGCTGATTATTATTTTTATTACATCAATGATCTCTAAAAGAATAGTCATTGTCATTTGAACTCAAAACTGATGTTTTCTTGGAAGAACATTTCATAAGAATTCTCCCTGAAGTTTTATCAAGGTAATCTTTAATCTCAACCAACAAATTATATTAAAGTGACTTCTAGAAGATCAAATTTCCTCAGTTAAAAAGAGATTATTTTCAAAGAACACCAAATTAATGTTTATTTTTTTAAGTCTGTACATTATTTCATGTAGACATGATAATGGCTGAGGAGAACTCGGTTCATTTTCTGTAAGGTTTGAGAAATCAAAACAAGGGTACTGCGAAAGCAGAACATAATACATGTACGTCTGTCATACATTGAATGAGCGCGCAGTTGTCTGTAGGGTTGTACATAAAGGGCCATAACTCAATAAATTATGGTTGGACAGTGGCGGTTATCAAACTTGTTAGAGCTTTCATGGTAATGAACCTTTCTATGAAGTTTGAAGTTAATCCATAGAAAACTAATTGAGATACCGAGCGGACACTGTTTGGGCGAATGAATAAAGGGACATAACTCTGAAAATTACAGTACATTAATTGCGGTTATCGAACATGTTCGAGCTATCATGGCAATGAACCTTCCTATGATGTTTGAAGTTAATCCATTGAAAACTACTGGATACCGTTAGGCTTAGCGCCCGCTCGCCCGCGTGATAACATAATACGTCTCATCATCTCATCATGCCGCGGGCATATAAGAAAGTACCAACCTTGTCATACTTGGCCACAATCTCATTCCTCTCTCTGGATGCCCGCTCTACCTCATCATACTGGTCAAGTGATGAACTGGCTGTAACATACAAACAAAACACAGTCTTACTAACTTTACACTATTCATAAATGACCAATAAAAGAATTGTAAACAATACCAACAGAGCAAATCAGAACAAGCTTAATTACATCAATTGCAATTAAACACTGGAGAAGATATATGCTCTAGTGGAACCTGAAATTTCTACTAACAACACGCATAAAGTAAGGAGAAATTAAGACAAATATGTTTAATTACATCAGTTTCAAAAAGTACATCAATGCCATGTATTGTGATATTGAAATATTGACAGAAATATGTTACAGAAATATGTTTATATATATATCTTTATATCTTCAATCCGAGTGGAGACTCCTGCAGTCATGAACATTAAACTCTACCATTGTGTTGTGAAAATGTAATGATATGTACAGTTATGGAATGGCATAACACATCAAAAGTACTGTGTGCACATCGTCCTCACAATAAACGCACATACAATGTATGTGTGATATGGTGAGATATGTTGATCAATGTTACAAAAAGGGAAAAAACAGGAATGTTAGAGTGAAACAAGCACCTTATGTATAACCTAAATACTTCATAAAAAAGTGTAGATATTCAAAATATTCTTTAAATGTTTTATATCTGATTTTTTTCTTTTTTATATTTTTGTTCTCACAAAAAAAGTTCAATGAAGTAATTACTACCAATGTATTAATCAACTCTGTCCATTTGACCCTCAACCTACATGTATGTGAGTCATACTGACAAATTACTGTTTTTGTATGATTTGCTCCAGATGTTCTGATTATATATAATAGTGATGTACTCATGCATGTACAGTATATATATCATAGAGGATACTGTAGTCCAGATCTGCCAAAAAAAATAACTGGGGCAAGTACTGTTTTACTGCATACACCTACGTTCTGAAGCTTCCCATTTCATCATACACTGGAGAATATATCTGAGAATTTTCCTGGCCAATAAGAAATAACAACTTTGTTTTCAAGGATATTTTCCTATCCTATGTCATAATTCCCTAAAATGGAATTCATCTCTATCTGGTTATCTGGTTATATTTCATGTTTTCTATTGTATTTTCTGCAATAAAACATTACACTTTGATGTTCAGAATACTCATCCGCAGGTTGATTTTGAAAAGTTCTCTAGTAACCTAACCTTTACTTTATTTTCATAATAAACACTGAAACTTTTCACTAGAAGTTGTGTGACATATTTGCCAAGTACATGTATATGAAATCTACCCTATAGTTATATATACTGGATACATCAAGTCTATCAGTCTACTTATACCAACCAAATACATCATACATTCACAGACGTTGTATGTCATCTTTACCTTTTAATCATATTTTCTATATATAGTGTAATGTTAACCAGTATTTCACATCTCTTCCTACTCTATATAGTTATCCATCCTTGATTCTCCAGGCGCTATAGCCTATGCTCACTTACCTTCCCTGGAATATGTCATGGCAAAATTGAAGGCATGTGGCTAGCTATTGGATTGGTCTGGCGAAACAAAACAAAAGTTTGCTAGGCTAATATGTGTTGTTTAAAGGTTACAACCAGTTTTAAGGCCAGTCAATTACACCATTAGGCTGCAGTGGGATTCTTTCGATGTGTATCAAAGGATCAAACAAGTCTTTTTGTATCATCCACAAGGTGGCGCACACTGAGCTTTCAAATATGACATGACATATCCCAGGGATGCAGAGAGTGTAAATGAGCATATATATACTCCTGAAGTATCGAGGATGATAGCTATCCATCAAGGGTACATCACTTGAGCAAAGCTCAGGTGACCTAAAAACATCATACATTCAGAGAGGCTGACTGTCACCCTTACCAGGACCAGAACAATCATGCCATACATCAGTATTACATGTACAGAGCCTGTGTCACCCTAACAGCATTGCTGATTACTGACCAGAACCATAACCTTTACCAGGGCCAGTACATACAGAGCCTATGTCACCCTAACGTCGTTGCTGATTATTAATGACCACAACCAGAACCCTTACCTGAGGGCCAGTACATACAGAGCCTGTGTCACTCTAACAGCGTTGCTGATTATTACTAACCAGAACCAGAACCCTTACCAGGGCCAGTACATACAGACCCTATGTCACCCTAACAGCGTTGCTGATTATTACTGACCAGAACCAGAACCCTTACCTGAGGGCCAGTACATACAGAGCCTATGTCACCCTAATAGTGTTGCTGATAACTGACCAGAACCAGAACCCTTACCAAGGCCAGTACATACAAAGCCTGTGTCACCCTAACAGCGTTGCTGATTACTGACCAGAACCCTTACCAGGGCCAGTACAAACAGAGCCTGTGTCACCCTAACAGCCTTGCGGATTATTACTGACCAGAACCAGAACCCTTACCAGGGCCAGTACATACAGAGCCTGTGTCACTCTGACAGCGTTGCTGATTATTACTGACTAGAACCAGACCTCCTACCAGGGCCAGTACATACAGAGCCTGTGTCACTCTAACAGCGTTGCTGATTATTACTGACTAGAACCAGAACTCCTACCAGGGCCAGTACATACAGAGCCTGTGTCACCCTAACAGCGTTGCTGATTACTGACCAGAACCATAACCTTTACCATGGCCAGTACATACAGAGCCTGTGTCACCCTAACGTCGTTGCTGATTATTAATGACCACAACCAGAACCCTTACCTGAGGGCCAGTACATACAGAGCCTGTGTCACCCTAACAGCGTTGCTGATTACTGACCAGAACCAGAACCCTTACCAGGGCCAGTACATCATATATTCAGAGGCTGCCATACATCGACATATTCACATTTACAGAGCTTACCAGCCTCATCTACTAGTTAGTACATCATATAAATAATTGTATTCACAGAGGTTGTATTACCCTTACCAGGGCCAGTATACCCTATCTGGAGCACAGTAAACAATCATATAAATAAATGTATTCACAGAGGCTGTATTAACCTTACCAGGGTCAGTTTACCCTATCTGGAGCACAATAAACAATCATATAAATAAATATATTCACAGAGGCTGTGTTACCCTTACCAGGGCCAGTATACCCTATCTGGAGCACACACAGAGGCTGTCAGCCTCATCCCCTGTGGACACCTTTCCTGTTATAAACCCTCAGTCCATCACTTAGTCATTGACAAAATGATCAATATTATCCTCAATATGATCGGTGTGTAGACAGTGATTGCTGAAAGGCCAGCCATGTCATATCATGCAATTTTAACTGATTACATGTCATGGATCCTAGCCCACAACAGAATTGTACATAACCACATTACTGTATATCAGCTAAAATGAAAGATTGATTTTCACATTAACTGGTATGCTTTTCCATTTAAAAAGAAAACATATACATGTACATCAATTGATCACATGTTGGTAAAACCAATACCTCGTACATCAATCCATTCCCCCCCCCCCCCCATATAGTGTTTTTATGAGGATGGTTTGTGACTGTAGTCTCCAGTCTAGTTCATGTGACAAACTGAATTGCAATTGGTAAAGCACTGAACTAAATGAAAGCAGGTACATAAAGCATGAAACTTCCTACATAAACTACATGGCATATTTACAAGACTGACAGCATGGTGATGATATTTTGTATATATGAATATGGATACACACATACAAACAGTGTTATGTATAACTTGTTTACATCAATTTGCTTGCTTTTGACAAACGAGCAAGCTAGTCCTTTCATCCTGGACTACATAAAAAGAAGAATGCCTTGGGCTGGTAACTTACTGGTTTCTTCTATAAGCAGCCCATTTCAGATCATATATACATGCATACACAAAGTCTCACTAATAGTAATCCTCAAACAAAAACAACCTAATTAAATTTGAAGACAAAATTTCAGGACACATAAAACGTGTATCACATATATGCATGTACAATGTTACTTAATCAGTATATATGTACATTAAGCTAACTGACTGAATCTCACATCAAACTGTTTGTGAAGGATGTGTGGACCAGATAAAGCTGAGTCCAGATACAAGTATCACAAACCCAGTTAAAATCAATTGGGCTATAAGTAAAATACTTAACAATAAAACAATTTCTAAGTAATTGCTGAAACTAGGCAGTCTTCAGTCAAGAAGGGAAGCAACTCTTTGCACGTGGCCATCACATGTATTGGAACACAATCAAGGTGTCATTATATTTGTGTGACGTCACAATAAAAGCTGAGCTTAATTCAGTCAATGCTACAGATAGGATACAATTTTATTATGTCAACAAGTGACAAGAACGTGATTTCATGTTTTAAGACACTCTGAGGTAATTCCCGGTGTGATTAATGTTTATATCCTGATCATGTCATTAAATAGTAAATATATACATGTCTGTTTTATGACTGAACTTACTGGTTATCATTGGCTATGTAAGTAATAAGTAATGAGGACACCATATTGTTTAGGGGACTGACTCCACGGCTTCCCAACCCTGGCAGTTCCTATCAATTTATTTATATATATCTGTATATACTTATCAGTATTATATATATATATATAATATTTGGCTGGGGGAAATAAAATATTTAAAAAATAAAATTAAAAAAAAACAAAAAAACATGTATTTCCATCATATACAAATAGAATCAACCACAACCTGTCATAGCTCGGGCAGTCTCGTCTAAACCAAAAACTATGTCCATAAACATGCAGGTCCTATTCAATTAGAAAACAGGAAAATACCTTTAGTCTATATGACATCAATCCATGCATCATCAATTTACATTGTGTTACTCACAATGAACATAGTAAATAATTCATGCAGAAGCTACTGAAGAAAATACATGTGATACAATACATTTTTCTTCCTTTGATTTCTGTAGCTACAAATATTGTTTTATTTATATAGCATGCTTTAAGATGTTACCATAGTCTACTACTATAAGTAGTAGATATGTACAAAGAAAGCATACTATTAGTATTTCCATAGCAATCTTATATTTCTATTTGAGGGGAAACCTGATTTACT